GATCTTGTACCACCAGGATCTTGGAAACAAATGTACTGAGGACTTCGCTGTGCCCAGCTCCGAGGTTAAAATAATGCACGTGTCCTGTTCTGTCTCTGGTGTTGGTGATTAAGCCAGAGCCGACCCACACTGAGTGGTGCTTTGCTTCTGAACTGTGCAGTACACCAGCTTGCAGTGGATATCTGCATTATACTGCATTTTCAGCTCTCTGTGCTGTCCTGGGCTGTCACAGGGCTCCTGAATAGCTCTGCCATGCTCTGGACGGCTTTTCATGTCTGTTGATTTCCAAGGAATTTATGTTCATTGCTTGAAGTCTGCCACTTGGATTGTGAATATGCGGATGAAGAAAACCTTTTAAAATGTGTTGTGTCTGGGCCAGGAGGGTCCCTGCCATCCCCTCCCACCCCTCCTCAGGGCTGGGCTTTGATTTTATTCAGGGCACCAGCGCTGGCTCTGGCCCAGCCTGGCACTCTCTCTGGATCAGTGGCTTTTGTTTGTGGAGGCCAGCTGAAATCCTATGACTTAAATACATTTACCTTTTTGCTTTGTTTTCCTCTGGGGAAGGGCACTTGAGACTATCGTCTCCTGTCTTCAGCGTCCCAGACTGGAGCAGCCCTAGGAGATACTTTGGGCCATTTTCTCATTTGGTATGAATGCTGCTGGACCATCTGGTAAACGGGTGTGTCCAGCAAGTTGACTGACCGCACTGTGTGTTCTAGATCGGGCCATTTAAGACCTGATTTTGCCCCAGACCCATTTGGTCCACACAGAATTCAGTCGCCCAGGCCCACATCTAAGATGGAAGTCAGAGGCACTGCAGGCCACTCACGAGGCTTGGAGCCGGACTGGACACCAGATTGGCTGTGGCAGCATCCTCGAGGTGGGCAGGAGACCCAGAGCCTCTGTGAAATGCAGGCCCTGAGCAGTCAGTCCCTGTGGCCCTCACAGTGGGTGCAGAAATCAGACCACAAATACAAAGCTACCTTTCCATCCCTCAGCCCCTCAGGGGGCTGAATTATGCCCCCTCCCGAAGGCTGTCTGTGTGGGGGACACAGCTTCCAGAGGGGATTAATGTTAAGTGAGCCATCAGGGTGTGTCCTAGTCTGACAGGGCTAGTGCCTTCTTGGAGGAGCTGGGGTGCACAGAGAGGCAGGAGGCTGTGTGCGGGGCGTTGCTGAGGGCGCAGGGAGAAGGCGGCTGTCAGCAAGCCAAGGAGAGAGGCCTGGGGGAACCCAGCCTCTGACACGCCAATCTCAGACTTCCAGCTCTGGGCCTGGAGAAAAGAAAAGGCCCTGGGTCCGCAATGCAAGGGCAACCCGACCGGTGATCTGGACACAGGGAGTGTCCACTTTTGAGTGCGCTCTGATCCGAGCTCATGGCTCCAACCCCGGACTCTGCCCATGGGAGCGATCATAGGTGCAGTGTTTTGGAACAGCAAACCATTTCCCCATGCCGGGCCGGGGATTTTCACCACACTCTTGGGACTCGTAACACCGGGGGTTGCCCTCCACTGATGGCGCTTCCACTCTTACGTTCACGACTCTCTATTTCACATCGCCCACCCAATGATCTGTGAAAGATAATGCACTTACGTATGTGCGGAAGGGTCTATTTCACGCTCCATAGAGAGCCGCTGACTGTAATGGCATCTTCCAGGAGGGCGAGCCGGACTCGGGGAAGCACACGAGTGGGGAGGAGGCGGTAGTGTGTCAGGAAGGCAGCCGGAGAGGTGCCTGCCACAGTGAGAGTGGAGCCGGAATGGGGCTGCGTTCTCCCCGGCAGGAGGTCGTGGCAGAGTGGAGTCACTGGATAGTCTGGCCCCCTGGGAACGGGAACGTCCTCTCTGTATTGTGCTGGGGCCACAGCAAGGGGACTGGACCTGGTGGCTCAATGATGATTCTGCAGGGGAGAGCAGAGCCTAAGGGCACGGGACCATTTTGCAGGTTTTGTGTTCTTTGGGTCTATGTGGGTGTGCGGAGAAGGAGAGGGAACACACAGTATGAGATGGAAGAAAGACAGTGCATAGACAGCATGATGCACGGGTGGGCAGGATGTCCCAGGGCCCTTTAGCCTCCCCCACTGACCTGCTGAGCCCTCTCTCCAGGTGTCCCCAGCAAAAAGGGGATTCCCAGCTCTGTGGGTACCCAGAGCCACAGATTCTGCTGGGACTAAATAAAGGTTTAGTCTATAAATCCCAGAGCCAGGGTGGTTTGTATTTCATATCTGTGTCTTATTGACCCATTAATTAAAGACATTTTTATTAGTGCATTTCCCCGGCATATAATGATTGCATTCTTTCTGGGGAATTAGTCCATCTTAGTTTTTTATGTCCCTTTCCCCTCTCCATCCCCCATCTCTTGGTTTCCTCCTCATTTGAAAAGTCCGGTCTCCTTTTTCCTGTTATCTTACAGTTTGCTCTGTAATTGGTTTATACCTTGGCTTTCTCATGTAAGAGAGACCATGTGGTGTTTAAGCTTGTGCATCTGACACATTTCACCTACTACGATGGTCTCAAGATGTGTCTGTTTCCTATCCTCGACTTGAGTTTATAGGTTTTTATACCAGAGCAGTGCCCTGCAGTGCGTGAATATTATGCTTTCTTTACCCACCCATCCACTGGTGGGCACCCAGGCACCATCCGCTGATGCACACCGAGGCTGCTGCTAAGGTTCCCTCTTGTGAGCCGTTCTGCCCTAAGCATGGTGTGCATGGATCACCGCAATGTGATGTCTTTCACTTTTTGGGAAAATTCCTAGGAGAGGCGTGGCTGGGGTGAGTGAGATTTGTTTTTAGGACTCTATACAGGATTCTGTGACAGTTGGACCAGCACACACTCCCGGCCCAGTGCAGGGGCTCTTCCAGAGCCTCGTCAGTGTTGGCTGAGTTATCTGATTCTTGATGACAGCTGTGCTTTGGGGTGAGATGGACTCTAGGGTTGCTTTTGCTAATGGCAGTGCCGTTGAGCCTTCTTTCCTGCATTTATTGGCTGCCTGGCTTCTGAGATGTCTTTTGAGATGCATATGACTGTTCCTGCTCCCCTCTTTTGATGGAATCTTTTACGGGTCTCCATTGGGTCACAGTGGCTCCAGTGGCTTCCTCTCCCAGCAGTCCTTGTGATGCAGACCAGAACAAGAGTGGATGCCCAGTGTGGTGGGGCACAGGTGTCCTCTCCTGTGTGTCATGCGAGCACCCTGGGAGAGTCCCTGTCATTGTGCACTCAAAACCCTTGCTCCCACAGGCACAGGCGGAAGCTCTGAGAGGGAAGAAAACAGTTCTCTGGTTTAAGTCACAAACCTGTACCCCTAACATGGCTGGAAAGGCAGGGCCAGAGTTTCCTAGGGTCTGCCTGAGGGCTCCAGGCAGACCTGCTTTGTCTTCAGGAAAAGCAGAGCAGCTGTGGGAGGGTCTGGGAAGGGGACGTCACACGGGGTGCTGCTGAGGTGAGCACAGGGTCACACGCCTGCGGAGCCTCTCTGCCTGCCTGCCTGTCTATCTGTCCTGTATCTGTAGGTCTGTCTGTCTATCTACCCATCTGTCTGCCTGCCTACCTATTTTATCATCTTGCTTGTTGCTCTGTGCTCTATCCATTAGCTCTACCTGTCTTGATGGGTCTGTATGGAGACATGCATCTCTATCATCTATCCTTTAACTAAGCTACACCTATCATCCATCTATTCTCCTTCCCTTTCCTGTCACAGAGGAGAGGAGGGGAGGGGAGGTAGGGAGGGAGGAAAGAGAGGAACCCAGAGCAAGCAGGGGTGGTGCCCCCCCTTGCTGCACAAGGCTGCGTACCCATGCTGTTAGGGCTGTCACTGAGCTGTGTGATGTGCTCAGACCTCCTGGGGACAGCTGGGCAAGGCAGTGGACTCTGAGCCTGTGTGCTCACCCTCTGACTCCAGCTACTTCGGGGCCTGGATGGGCTGGGTCTCTGGACAGGGAAAGGACTCCCTGACCCAACCTTTAGCTCAGGGCCACCATTCCCCTCGGGCTGTGTGGGGTGAGGTGGGGCGGCTCTGAGTCCATGCTGGGGCCCAGGCACCCCTTTAGGTGAGCAGGGCAGAGGGAGGGGCCTCTGATGTTTGCCAGTCTGGAGATGCTTTAGAGACTTTTTTCCTGGGCGGGCTGCAGGACTGTGTCTACTTGTTTCTACCACTCTGCAGAATATCACCAGTCAGCCACAGCCAAAGGGACTCTCAGCCCCCCTCTTCCCTTCCTTCTGGCCTCAATCTTTCTTCCAACTACCGCTACCGCCAGGGTGGGACCCTCCTGCCTCAGCAGGTTGCCAGCCCTACCTTGCTGGACTGCAGGGTTGCAATTTGTGACTGTTCAGCCTGAGCGAGAAGGTCTGCCGGAGTCCCTGGGTCATTCACACCCGGAATCGGGTAGGAAAACCTCATGGGCCTCGGGAGTGTGCAGAGTCCTAGGGGGCCATCCTGTGACATCGGCCAGCTCCAGCTGGCTCTGCACGGGGAGCACGCATTTAAATCGTGTCTCTGTGAGTGACCAGGAAGGAGTAATAACACAGGTAACACTGAAAAAACCCTGGCAGGCCGTGGCCAGTGGGAGCGTGAACTCACATAGAGCTGAGGTGGCGGTGCACACCTGGAACTTCAGCTCTCGAGGCAGGAGGATTGAGCCCAGACTATGCAATTTAGTGATTTAGACCCTGTCTCAAAATAAAAAATAAGCAAGAGGCTGGGGAGAGAGTTCAGTGCAAAGATCCCAGGTTCAATTTCCAGTACTGCAAAACAAGACAAAACCAAGCCAAACCATGTGTAGGAAATGCAGGACGTGTTCACTCCATGCCCTGATTTTCAGGATCCCGGCCTTAGGCGTGGAGTTTGGTCAGTCCAAGCACGGCAGGCTCTGAGCCTGGGCGCCCTGTGGTCTGGTCCTGGGGGTGGTGCTCCAGTGCCTGCCCGCTCTGCCCACCCAGCCCTGTCCCTTGCTTCTCTCTGTAGCTCACCGATGGCTTTGTGTTTGTATTTCTCCCACTGCAGATGGGCAGAAGAAAGTCCAGGAGGAGTTCGACATTGACATGGATGCGCCAGAGACAGAGCGGGCGGCCGTGGCGATCCAGTCTCAGTTCAGGAAGTTCCAGAAGAAGAAAGCGGGGTCTCAGTCCTAGTCGGGGAGACCTCTTCCTAGTCTGCCCGGAGACACTGAGTCCAACTGTCACCTGTTGAGAAATTAAAACAACAACACCGTCCAGAGAAGTCATCCACATACCACGCACACGCGTCCCGCGAGCCCACGATGCATGTACAGAACCCACACTATTTATGCCCTCCGAGGCAGGGTAGGCCACGAAGTCGTGAGTAGCTCGACCTCTGTATTTCTCTCCATGCCCAAAACCCACCCGCAACCACGTCCCTTGATGCTGTAATAAAAGGGAATTAAGATGAGAGAGTCCAGTGTCTCCTCGCCTCTCTTTGCATGAATTCCGGAAGGTCCCTGGCTCCGTCTGAGACGCTGCAGATGTGTCTGTCTTCTCCTTCTCCTGGGAGATGCCTGGCACTTCTCACACTGCACTCCGGGAGTGCTTCCTGCCCGGGGCTGTGGCAGGATATTTTCTTCTTGTGACGGGAATGCAGCCCTGTATGCCAGGTGCTAAAGCCTCAAAAGTCTCTTGGGGGACTTATGACTCATTCAGGGGGGAAAAAAGCAGGCAGGGCACCGTGCCTGCGTTTGGAGCATGGCTTGGATGCATTCAGGTCACCAGAGGGACCCTCACACTCACCTGCACCTGCTTGGCTCTAGAGGCAGGAGTGCTGCTGTCCTGACGCCCCCGCACCCTCTGGTTCTCTCCTGTCACCTGCTCCCTGCTTGTGGGAGTCATTGTAGCCATCACTGGAGCATCGTCTGGCTCCTCTTTTACTCTGCCTCCCCGCCGAGAGCCTCAGAGACAAACTGTTTCCCAGGCTCCATGGAGCACATTCGGCGGCGAGGTGTTCCGAGCCAGAAGCCTGTCTCCTGGGAGTGAGTCTGCATTGGGTAGCAGGTGGAGAAGTCCCATCCCCAGAGGGCCTTGTGGCTGTCATTTGTGCTCTGCCACAGGAAAACAATGTAGGAATCACTGGTACCTCCGACATCTGGAGGGCCACACGGGGAGTGTGCTCTGGCCACCGTGATTCTTTCCCCCCACCCCTGGCTCCACAGCTGAGTCTCAGGGTGGGACATGAAGCATGGCTGGAGGAGGAGGGAGGCTTGCTGTGTGTGCGTGCGTGTGTGTGTGTGTGTGTGTGTGTGTGTGTGTGTACCACATGTATGGGTGTGGGGTGTGATGTGTGCTGGGGCTGGATGGAGGCAAGGCTGTTCTGTTGAGGCCCTCTTTATGGACGACTGTGCAGACTGAGAGAGACTGGCTGTCACAAAACTCTCTGGGGAGACAAGACTCACTGTGCTGTGTCAGGGTCCACTGCCCGGCGCTTGCCTGCCGTGCTCTGGACGCTGACATGTCTCCAACTCCTCGCATGTCCCCCGGCAGAGCATTGAATCAGACCTGGTCAGCCCCAAGAAGAAGCTTGGGCTAGGGAGCTCCAGGTGGGGGTCCCCACTGGGAAGAGGGCAGCAGGTTGAGGGGTGCTCTGGCAAAAGCCTCCAGAGATGCTGTGAAATTAGATGGCTTCTGATGTCTTCGGAGTCCCCTACAGCTATTGCCGTAATGAGCAGTGAAACCACGCTGGCATCGTGAAGATGACTTCTTCCTCGTGTCCTCCCAGCACCCCTACTTCTCTCAGCCTCTGAAAATTTCACCTAAGGATGTGGTGGGGGGCTCTCCCTACTGAATGTGCTCAGAGCCTGGTAGCCAGCATGGTGCTGCCTGCTCAGACCCCTGTGGAAGCTGCCCTGGTCCTCGGCAGGATGCGTACCCCCACCCCGAGCAGCTGGTGCTGGTGGATTTGCTGCTCTCCAGTGGCCCCAAGGGTCCCTGGAGGCCTTGAGCACACTGCGGGCAGAGGATGCCGTGGGCTGGGGCGGGGCAGAAGTGTGGAGAGGGCCCTGGAAGAGCCAGCTCTGTCTCTCTCAAGAGTGTGAGTGATTTCCCTCGGGCCACAGGGATGCACTATAAATTTCACTCCCAGGGAGACCTGAGGGCCTGAACCCCAGTAGTAATTGGGTGCATTTCACACCCAGGGGCCACAGAGGGCCAGCAGACGAAGTGGGTTGTGGCCTCTGGCTCCAGAGGACCTGTTTCCCAGTGGTTGCAGCATCCATTCCCTGGGAAGAAGGGAGTCCTTCCTGGTGGGCACGCGAGCTTGGTAACTTGGAGAGCCCCTGCTGCATTTCCTTTTGTGCCAGTTTACTTAGTCGTCTGAAATTTTATTTAACTGGCTCTTGCCAAAGTCTTCCGTGTGCACAGACGAGGTGCTATGGCTGTGTAGATCATCCACAGCAAGTCATGTGGGCAGCCAGGCAAAACGCACTCACACAGTAAAAATCCCACTTGTTACCGCTGCTGCTGCTCCATGACTATTATTGACAAAAAGCTGAGACGCCCATTTGGCGATGGATGCAGTAGGTGTAGGAGACGGTTCAAGACTCAATAAACTGGGTCTAGGAGAGATGCAGGGTGGCATCAGCCACATTAGCCACATTAGTAGGATCCTGTAGTGAACAGGATCCTGTTCACTACAGGATCCTACTAATGACAGCCAAGACAAGAGAGTTACTCAGCATCACAGACAGCAAGGAGCAGAACGTCGAGATGACCAAAGAGACGACAGAAAGACCGCCATGGGCGGGCAGAGTCACAGCCGCTCTCTAAAGGAGCCATGGCTGTGAGGAGGAATTGAGCCTCCGTGTTGTTTCTTTTCACCATTTTGTGACTGTTATAAAGTCATAAAGTTTTACAGTTTTCTTCAGATAGGTCTTGAACATTTCTTTTTGCTCTACTTCTAGATATTTCATGCTGTTTGCTGTCCTATTTGTCTAAGCGTTCTTTAGCTGGCTTTGCTATTATCTAAGAACACTGCTTTTGTATATTTAGCTCTATAATAATTTTGATTATAGAGCTAAATATACAATCAATATTTAGCTGAAATTATCTATCTATCTATCTATCTATCTATCTATCTATCTATCTATCATCTATCTGCCTATCTATCTATCCCTGCACCTCTCCAACCTCCTCTAAGCTTCACCCTCATGCTGGGGCTAAGGGCCTTGCCACAGGAATTTGGGGGACACAGGCATTCAGTTTGTAATATCTGGTTCACTCTTGGTGTTATTTTCTGTAATTTCATCAGACTGGATAATGAATTTGATTTGATTTACCGCCCAACTCATTCACTGCACATCTTGGTTTATGCTCATTTCCGGCCACAATCCTGTCCAGTTCCTGCTCTAACACTGCTGCTTTTCCTGTGGCTGTGACAGAGGGTTTAATTAAGGAGCAGCCATTCTATGAACCACATTGGCTCACATGGCAGACAGGGCAGCACCTCTCTGTGGCCATTTCTCAGGCTTCTGCTGTGGCCTCTCTTCTGGGACCTCAGCTAAGAAACTGTTTCCTAGGCTGCCAATAAACTGACTTGCTGAGGTCAAGTTAGACAGTGTCTTGTCCCAAGCCAAGCAGCGTCTTTGACTTCCTGAGATGAATTCCTGCGTGAAAACACCTAGTGATGTGGATCCCTGAGTGGAAACACCTAGACATTTGGCAAGAAGGAGCCCTGAGTGAGAATACTGCCACAGCAGAGAAATTACACAGCACTCAGGGAAATGGAGAAGAATCTGTATTTTTCTGCTAGTCTCATGCAAACATTGCCAATGCCAGGAAGATCTCTGTGACTGTTTACTTCCAAATGGTGCAGCCAGGGCCACCTGTATCCAGGCCTCTAGCTCAGTGCTTTGTGACCACATACGGACAGAGCTTGTGGCTGACTGTCTGGTTATTATGGATCCAAGTGCTTAGATAAATTAAATCTGTAACTGCATAATTTTGGCAGACATCTGATTTCAGCACGTGGCACTTACTTCCCTCTTTCTAGCACATTCTCCCATGGCAGCCTAAGTCTCTTTAAAAAGATGAGTCTGGTCCTCTCATCCTTTCGTGCCTTCGTGCCCTGCCCCAGACCTGAATCCTTCACCGTGTTCACTGTGCTCCCAGCACAGAGCTGGCCTCCTTCGTGTGGCCACCTTCACTCTCTGGGTGTTTCTGGGGCTCCGCCCTGTGCGCCCCCTTCCTCCTGGAGGTGTCTGGATATGCTTCCCCAGCTTGCACCTTTGTCTCTGCAGCAGATGCATTCTTGACACCCGCTGGTCCTGAGCTGCCATGTTGCTTCCTGGAGCAGTTTAGGTAACTCACTGCCATGAAAGGTACTGCTGCCCCCTGCCCAGGCTCTGCTGCCTGCACCTAGCAGAGGTCAATTTCTCACCTGCAGCAGATTTCCATGCTGGCGTGCTTGCATCATCTCTCCATTCTCCTTGCAGAAGGGGGTGCCCAGGGTCTGGGATGGACCAGACCCATAGGGGCCATATCAGTTCCATGGTAGGAAGGCAGGGCCTCGGCTGTTTGCAAAAAAAATCCTAGGAAATAACAATTCCCTGGAGGTAGAGGGAATGGGTTTTGGGAAATGCACTGCAGTTTCTGCCACTGCCCCTGTTGCATTCCTGGGGCTCCCTCTCCCCATCAGTCTCCCTCCTGCACAGCTATCCCTACCCACTTCCGCCCCCAGCACCCATGAGGCTCAGTCCTTGATGGATCTCATTATGGCTTCACCTTCACACACACCGAGGTAACCATGGATTAGTTCCGTTCTCCTGGACACAGCTCCGGAGGGCAGGGGCATCCATTTGATTGGCAGAGGAGAGTCTGTGTATACTTGTGCCAAGAATGAATGCACAGATACATGCCTGCTTTACAGAAATCACCTCCCTGACATAACTTAGGGCAGGAAGTCACCATGTTTCCCGTCTGTAAACAGCCTGTGAAGACCTTGTCCTGCTCAAGGCCATGGCTGACCCGAAACTTTCAGTCCGTCATTCTGCTGTCTGGAGAGCGTGGCAGGAGCCCCCTGAGATGCAAGTTTTCTCATCATCCCAGGTGAAAGTAAACAGACAGACACAGAATGGAAGTCAGGGCAGATAGGCAGCCAGCACAGGGGCGTCTGCAGGATTCCCCTGAAGTCTCAAAAAATTCTCAAACCCATGGCGACACCAAGGTCAGAAGGCGCCGGGGCCAGCAAACACAGCTCGGCTTCTCGATTGCTGTAACTCTTCTGTCCCGTGGGACACCAGCCTCTCTGTGAACAGTGGGCTCCCTTGGCTTCAGCCTGACCTAGTCCCGGTCCTGGGTGTGTTCTGGGAAAGACCCAGAGCTTCTTCTGGCCTCAGTTCCCCCTCTATAAAATGCGCATCATAAAGCCACCAGGACAGGAGGGAAAGCTTGACAAGATTGCTTCCCTG